CATTTATAGAATGAATACCGAAAAAAATGGGAAGAACATATCGACAGGATTAAGAAAATCTATTTTAAAATATTACCCGAAAGGAAAAAGTTTATGTTTTCTGAAATGATAAGAGGGATTTTTTTTATTATCCATATAAGGTTTCAATATCTAAAACTGTTTATGTACTACACAATCCATCAACAATGCAACAAAGTGTTCCTTCTTTCTTACACTTTCACTTTCGACACAACATGTTTCAGCCCTAAATGGTCATCTTCAGGTCTTACTATACTAAAACTGCTACACTCTACTAATATTATCGTGAAGATGGCCATTTAGTGCCGAAACATGTTGTGTCAAAAGTGAAAGTGTAAAAAAAAAGGAACAATTTGTTGCAATGTTGACAGACTGAGTAGTACATAAACAGTGTTAGATATAGTAATGCAACAGGATGACAGCCTCTGTGGTCTAGTGGTCAAAGTTCCTGGCTACAGATCCAGAGGTTCAGGTTCGATTCCCGGCGCTACCAGATTTTCTGAGAAGTAGTGGGCCTGGAACAGTGTCCACACAGCCTCTGGAGGATAACTGAGGAGCTATTTCAAGGATATAGCGGCTCCGGTTTAGAAAACCGAGACTAACGGTCGTGGGGATCTGTTGCGCTGACCGCACGACAACCTATATCTGCTAAAGTTGGCACTAATTTCGCCAACAAGTGGTCAGTATAGTTCACTTGCAGTCTAAAACCACGGAGATTTTTTTAATGCAACAGGATGCTTAAATACAGGATTGCAAATAGAAGTTTCAATATGCCTAATATTGGAAAGGATGATCATTATGATGGTCACTGTACTTACAAAAGATTAGCATATACAACATAGTATAATGCAAATAATTAAGTGGTATTTATGGTTTCACCATGTCACCTAAGTACACAAACCAAAATTATATTTACATGCACCGAACATGTAGGAAAATACAGAAGGTTGTGTTTTAGTACAGTAAATAGTCACCCCCTTAACAAATAACGCAGAAGAATATTTCATATCCATTAAATATTAGTCAACGGGTGGTCTGTTTGTTTCTAGTCATCATCTGATGTATGCAAGATTCTAAATTGTTAACAGTTATTTTTCAAAGATTAGCAGCTATTTAGTTCATTTGTATCAGTGATATTAAGACAGTATCAGACTGTTTCAACACTGGAATTTCATGCTTGAATCTTGCTCAGGGCATGGATACACGTTTTTAAGTTGTCCTTTGTTGCTTAGGCCTTGAGATGGTCTCCATCCAAGAAATCCCAATATTTGTCTTCAGTTATTCCGTATTAGAGGGGGTGGGTTTCCCCATGCACCGCAACTAGTAGTCTATTGTACGTCCCCCTTTAATTTCTACTGTCGCCATACCCTACCAGTACTGGTGCTTGCTATCTCCCCTTTTTGCCAGCGAGGTCGGCTCTCTTCTGGCAGTGGTACCCGATAACTTCCCCATCTACTGGAGGCATTGGAAACTACTTGGGTGGGAAACTTTTTGCCTAATTTTGCTCAGAGGTCTCCTAGAGACATGAAGATCTTTTACGTGCCATAAATCTACGACACAGGACCCATGGCTTAAAGTCCCTCCCAGAGGACTTGTTCCCTGAATTTTCCGCCCTTAAAAATTCCATGACTTCCGCCGGGTTTGAACCCACTTACCTTGAGTCATGAGGTGGGAACGTTACCCCTAGACTACAGAGGTCGCTAATATTTGTCTTAGTAAGGATTTTGAAAATCTCTATATGTAGAAGAATCCAAGACTCAACCTCTAACACCTAAACGATGCTTGTAATAAGTAAATAATTCAATCTCAAATTAATGTCAAGTAAATCATAACACAGAGAAGATCCGCTTTGTCAGAGCAATGAAAATCACATACCCAGAATATTTCAATGACATAACTGTCCGAGGCGAGGGAAGATAAAATTGTTTCTCTGTGTACTGACATACAAGGAGGATCCTTAATCACGAAATATTAATGCACCAATAGGTGATCTGTTAAGCGAAGTGCAACTCATATTTACTTTGCTGATCATTTATCAAGGGCAGAGTACATTTAACACAATAATCCCTAGCAATGGTCAGCCCTTTACTATGTGGCAGTTGTAAGCTAGTTTTAGTGAACATTTCCTCTTCAGTTCAATCTCACCACAAATGCAAGCTACTTGTGATTTGGATGTGTTTACAATATGGCACATGAGACAAATTATGAAGTAAACATTCTCCCATGTAACACTTGAGCAAGGTTTTATAACATACATGTATCCTACTTAGGTGAAAGAGCTCCACTATATAACAATGCCTGAAAAACTTGTGAAAAATAATATGCCTAGTATATGCCAGGCATCATAAAAACTAATTCCCTCTACACAGTTCCAATGGCTAGTCTGATATGTATAATATAGCATCGATTCTCAACTGGTTGAGACATCTGTCAGCTGGGTGGGTCATGAATCACAAAAATAAAATTTTTAACGATTAATATATGACTAAAATGTATATATTTGTATAAATACACTTGGAAAAGGGAAACTTCGTTTTTACTATGGCAGGCTACACATTTTCTGACAAAGGTACCAGTGAAATGCAAGATGCAGAAGGTTGAGAATCACTGCAATATAGAAGTAGGGGAAAGAAGAAAACCCTAAGCACTTATGTTAACATACTTTCATAGTTGTCTAGTGCTGATACATATTTCACACACTTTACATTTGTAATTAGATTCTTCAGTTGCATAATGCTTTGACTTCTCTTACCTTGCTTTATTTCTACACTGATATTTGTCAAAGACTATACTTTCACCTGATATGCATGTTGTTGCAATGGTTATTTACTGGCAAACAGTAAAGACCATCTTCACTGGTGGTGATCAAAATGCCTCCTGCACTGAATAAAACGTCAGTACAGTTTATGTTTAATTCTACCAAATGCTGCGTCTGTTTTATCTGACTGTATTATTGCACTGGCTGTTTATCCACACATTATTTTTCTTCATACACAAAAGAAATCACAAACTTTCACTTACGTACTTCTCAATAGCAGAGTATGAACAAGAAAGTTTACAGATAATGAAGACACTGAAAATCATGCAGAGAAGTTAAAAAATATATTTTATTGGCAAACAGCATAAATTACTAGATCAGAGTATTAAATATATTAATGAAAAAAGTAAACGCCAGTTATAAACAATGAAGATGAATCAACAAACATGGTGCTCAGGCAAGGCATAATATTACTGATGATGATGATGATAATGATAATAATAATAATAATAATAATACTGTTTCATTACACTATTCAGTGCAATCCACTTCTCAGTGGTAAATGTGTGGGCAATCGGCAAACCAGACACTCCTATGACAATGTCATCATAAATACTGGCATAGGTTACCCATAAGAACATAATAAAAATAATAAGGGTTACAAAAGCTCCTGAGGCTGAAACTTACATAGAACAAAAGCCAATGGATCAAATATGACAGTTCTGAGATGTGTGTGCATGCACAATATTATGTTTTCTTCCTATCATCAAAATTTCAACAGTCTCAATATGAACCAATAGAACCTCAGGTACTTAACTTAGTATTTGATGGAGGGTCTATATATTGTATATAACTTGTAAAAGGAAAGTTGTTCATGTGCTTAATTTAATACCATGCCGAAGTGTAGTTCCAGGCATACTTATCTTGGCGCTAGATTCAGGGGAGTGGTCAGCTTCATGCTGCCGCAGCTTTAACCCCAGAGTAAGTATATATATATGGTGGAAAAGAGAAAAATATTGCCACTGCTAGGAACTGAACTAAAATTCCTCAGTCATCTAGTCTGTAGCCTAGTCACCAAACTCTGATTCTTAAGTGTCTCACGTTCATGCCATGCTTCTAGTGATGTTATGTGACAAACACTTCCCTCCTTTCCTGATCAAATAAACATTTAATAATTTGAAAATCAGGGTCTTCTAGAATGACACTGCATGGATTGGTAGATAGGTACCAGTGTTTTGGAGGAAACTGCTGCCTCCATCATCAGGGCAGAAGACTTTTCCACTTTGAAAATGGAGGCAGAAGGTTCTTCCAAAACAGTGGTACTTATCCACCAAGCTACATGGCATCACATCCCAGAATACTGTGACTTACATATTCAATGTCATGAGAACCTCAAATCTCAAATTTAATAATTCATATGGACACTGCTGTGATGCATATTTTAAAGACACATCTTGCTAGCAGAACTAATAATAACAATAATAATAGTTTAACTTCATACAAAAGTCCTGATTCATATTGTCATACATAATGTTGTCCTACAAAATAAAGACACCTGAAAATGAATATTTTATAAAGAACTTTATTACCAGAGTGATTATAAAGTATTTTGATAAATCTTGTTATTTTTTGTTTCACTTATGCTTTATTTAACATCATCAATAACTCAAGACCACAGAGCTTCAAATGACTAAATGATAATGAAGAATGAATTAGGAAGGATGTGGTAGGTAGTCATGAACTAATTTAATGTATTATTTTGGCATTTTTCTGGAGGGTCTGAGGAGAACCTCAGTCAGGATAGTTTCTATCCTCACCGAGATTCAAACATGCAACTTACTTGAGCTAACTAGTTGAGTAATATCTTTTGCAGGGAAACCTGTTATCTAGTGCACATTTTTCCACATGCCTTTCTCTACCCTTGTCTCTGATAAAGCTAAACCCTGTGAATGTGTTGAGCAATACTGGGCTGCTATCATGATGTACATCTTCTAAATGGATGGCTATATAGTTTATCCTTGCTGCAGGCTACAATGCATGTTGTACTACTATTCAACATTTTGTTCTTGGTCTGATCTTTCAGATCTGATTTTGATTTGTGTGGTAAGTCTCTATGGTACAACTTCTTCTTGTGCTTTGTTGCCCCTGTGTCACAAATGTCACTTCTACAACATGTTTCAACCTTATGTGGTCATTATCAGGTAGATACATAATTGCTTCACTATACTGCATTTTTTAGTTAACTGTTCTAAAGGAGCAATTGTGTTGTGTTTGAGGATGAAATTGAACGTGTGCAAAGGACGACTAGTTTCACTGTTTACTTATTCAATCAATCAGATGCTGAGGCTATGTAACATAAATATGATAGTGCATCAAGGTCATCAATGATGACTGAGAAAAGGACCAAGAAAGTACAGGTCACAACCTTGTTTTAAGGTGCTGGTCCAACATTCACCTCAAGAAAGGGAGGAAAACCTCAGTCAGGATAACCAGTATTGGAACCAAGATCCAGTCCCTGCACTTCCAAATAAGAAGCAAAGTGTTAAGCACTACTTCTCAGGTTTTCTGACAGCACAAATGATTCCTGCAACTATAAAACTATGAACCTATTGGTCACAGACTAAACACATAAACAGACAATTTAAATGAAAAGTACACCAATTATTATGTAGTGATCAAAATGTCATGCAACCTATTAGAAATGTATAAATACAAACAGCTTCAAAGCAGTCCAAAGAATCTGAAACAGGGAGAGACATGCAGAATTAATTATGCTCAAAACCCTATATCCTTAGCTTGCTCCAGTTGCATGTGCACAGCTGAAGTACAAGGACATCTTTTACACAACTGAAACACATGCTTACTGTGGAAGATTATGTAATAAAATCATATTGTTCCATAGCCTGCCATCACTGTGCATGAATTCCTGATTCTCCTGTACCATATAAACCAATGCTGTTTTTAATGACATGTTTCTGAGACAAAGCAAGTGTAAATGGGAAGCACTCCAGACAATCTACATTGCTGAGTAATGAATCTGTGGAAAATGTCCACAAAGTGTCAAGAATGTTATCGCTAAAGAAAACTGTCATATAGAAGTATGCATATGTCAATAATGCCACCATATATATCTATCACACACAAACCAAATGAACCTGTGAAACCAGCCAGTTGTTTCGAAACTTAATTCAACATGGTGTCCACACCATACTTCCACATGAAGTTTATTTCTCAGCAAGGCTTAGTTCCATTAAGATATGTTTATAGACAAAACAGCTGCATATCTATGCTGGGAATCCTCATATTCTGCTTACACATGACATTAAAAGCTGGAGTATGATGTGGCATGTCACTTCAGTATGTAATTGTTCCCTTTTTCTTCAGTGAAACCATACATCTCAAACATCGGTAAAGACTGATTAGGCAGTCCATTCATGTCAAAGTTGGAGAATGAAACTGCTGATTCCATCAGGATGAAGCAACAGCTCTACCACAACATCAAGAATGGAAATGCTGCAACAGTTCTTTGGTGACAGCACAATCTTGTGAAATGCATTGCCTCTCAGATTTCTCTACTGCAATCTGCATTTATCTAAGAGATCCCACATGTGGAGGAAGGTTAGAATACCTCCACCATAGCCCTGTGAGTCACAGAAAGTGGAGAAAAGGACATCCAGTGCCTTGGGCTATAGCTGAGCCCTCCTGTCATTGGGTGACATAAGTACACAGACCTGGTCCTCCAAATTATGGGGTGGGAGCAAGGCTTACAACCTTGTTTTGTAAAAAAAAAAATTGTTGTAACCGAAAGAAATGTAAACTGGATGCAATCTGGCAGAATCTCCTAAGATTTTGCCTCAAAAAGGGCTGTTTTGCTGCTGCTGATGATGACCATGATTTCTGAAAGATGATGTGTACAAAAATAACCATCATACATTATAAGAACAAAATAAAATGCTGAGAAATGCAATAAAACACTATTCAAGCTACTCTTCAATGTTACATCATACATGCAGAAAAGAATAAATTCATACATCATCAAGAGTGGTGGTAAATTTCAAAACTTGTTATACTTGTAATTGTAGTTTCTCTATACAGATAAAACTGTATCACCACTGGGATGCATGATCTTTCTTTCACCATGCACACAGCAAGTGATTACTTGAAATTAATTTTTAATTTGGCTATTCATGACATCACAGCAGAAAGAGCAGCAGTTAGTTTTGCTCACAGGTTTTACAGGGTCAAAGAGGTGGGAAAGAAAGATTATATGTAATAAAGTTACTGGGAAGCACAATATACTATAAAGGGATACTGTCTACATGTTTATGAAATTCAACTCAGTATCTGATATGATCTCCAAAGCATGCTGCACAATGATATTGCAGGAACCTCTTTATAATTTGTGTCTGTACTATATGCTTACCAAAATATTATGTACTTTTTATTTATGTTTTTAAAGTGACAGTCCTTGCACAATTTGAAATTAATTCATTTTAGCTAGAACTCTTTTTATACCTAAAATTTCTGAAACATATGTTTATCTAGATATGCGTTCTCATATGCCTTATCAATATGCACTTCTGCAGTTTTATGAAGTATGCCCATTAATGGTGACGACTGCCCTCACATTCACAAGGGAAACACATAAAAAGTCAGTTCAGATGACTTGTGTTAAGATCTCGTGAACAGATTTCAATCCAACTCAGCATTAAGTTATTTTGATATAACACACCAAGTATGTAATGCAATAATTTGAGTTATTTTATAATCACTCTGTACATGAAACTCATATTTATATGAACACAGTCAACCGATTCACTTAACACAGTTTCAACCTCTGCAGTTTCCACATTACAACATTTCAGTATGTTGTTGGTGGGAAGAAATTAATTTAATTAAAAAGAATGAAGTTCCAAATATTCTAAAATCTAACGAGACCTTTGCGATTATGATGCAGAGAAAGGAAAATGCATAATGAATTGTGATGAGATCTTTATGGTGTGCTTATGTTCAAAACTGAACTGGCTACTGTAGTTCACCACAAGCACATGGGTTCACAAGTTCATGTACTTCTATTCAAAGTTGTGTTAAAATGAAGATGAATCAATGCACGATTCTCTTGGGCCATTGAGATTTGGACAGTAAAGCTTTGCACATTAACCCAACATCAAGAACTTTGGTTTACGGTTGTATCTCAAAAGTATGATCTAGTAGGTGGAGTTACTTTACTTTTTATCTCTGCATTTATTTTGGATATTTGTAACTATTTAATAAATACATTTGCATCATGAGATGTTAGTTTTCCATATCTTGTTCTCATCACACAAAGCTGTAAGTGTTCTCGATGGCTCTTCCAGCACCAGCAGAACTGCCTGAACCACTCTGCCTCTCTTGCAGTCGTTCCATTGATTCAGTACGTGCACGAATTGTGCCTCCATGTGTAACCACCTGAAAGAGACACACGTTTGACTCAAATCACCATTTTATACCTAATTTACTATGTGTCCAAGAATAATTATGCACAGTAAGAACCATGGGCTAATATATGTGTGTAATATCAGTTCTCGCTTACATATATTACACTTATATTATTATTATTATTATTATTATTGTGGTTGTTGTTTATATACATTTATATATTACTATGCCATTCTTACTAAAAAGAGTAAATATCCCATAATAATAATAATAATAATAATAATAATAATAATAATAATAATAGTGTTACATGATGTGAATTATACTGAAATGTAAAAATGATAAAAAATAAAACACAATAATTTTACCCATTGCTTTATCTTGGTTTGCAACCTGGTACCAATATAGATTGAGGGTGTTTGAGAACAAAATGATGAATATAATATTTGGACCGATGAGAGAGGAGTAACAGGAGGATGGAGAAAATTACATAATGAGGAGCCTCATCACTTTTATACTCTCCCCAATTCCATTTGTAACTGTGATATCTTAGGGTATCTATTGACAATCCATGTGACCTCTAGAGTACATCGTTTAATTTTTATAAGTGTGGTTGTGGTAGATTCCTTCAGTTGTGCCCCAACTGTCTTTCCTTGCCTCTGCCCAACTCGCAAAGAACGATGACTTAAGGGGGAATGTGTTGCTCCCACATAAGGTACAGAGAAACTCTGTTAACATGTGAGGCCTGCAGCTGAACATAAGCTCCAATCAGTGCCCTGAGCCTGGGGCTTCAACAGACAATACTTTGACATGTGCACAGAACACTCTGTACCAGTACTCCTTCAGAGATTAAACCAAAGGTTCCATGAATGCATATCTAGTATCCTCATCTTCAAATGATATTATGTGCAGATTCGTTTGAATTAATGTTACTGTGCTACATATAAAGAGCTGAGAGATGTGATTATCATTCTTTGTTGCAATTAAACTGAGGACAGGTACAAGACTACCCAATATTCTTATAAAGAGATAGAATAATATTAAAATATGTTCCAGTATAGCACCCAAGTAAGTACATCACAGTTCTGTCCTGGGCCTAATAATTTTAATTTAAAATAATTCAAAACCTGTGCATATTGTAATCAAATGATTCATGGTTAAAATGTATTGTAGTCATGAGATAACTCCATGGCTGATAATGAACTTACATCTGAGGAATACCATAGATGATTGTGAACCATCTTGTGAAGCACCCTGGATGATGACGAAGTACAGAAGTCTCATCACATATGCCATAATACAGATGAAATTGATTATAAAACAGTTGAAGGTGATCTAAATTTTGACGTATCCTGTAAATATTAGTCAAATGTTTGGGAATCCTGCAGATGATTTATGGAGGCAATACTGAGACATAATATTACATATCATGTTTATAAAATACAGATCAAGTACTCTGTATTCCTGAACCATTCCTACTGTGAGCATAAGCAGCACTAGGCTACATAAAATAGCAAAAACATCATTGTTATTAGAAGATTCTAAAGGGTTCTGATGATGGTGGATGACACACAGAATTACTGGGGTTTTGGACTTTTTCCATCGTCTGGAATTTTAGATAATAGAGGACACAACGTTTCGGAAACTGGATCTGTTTCCGTCTACAAGTGAGAAAGGAAGACACCTACTCAGTTGGGCTCCTTAGAAAGAGCTAATTTCAATCACTGGACGATTCCCAGTGATTGAGATTAGCTCTTTCTAGATGATTGATCCAGTGATTGAGATTAGCTTTTTCTAAGAGGCCCAACTGAGAGGTGTCTTCCTTTCTCACCTGAAGACAGAAACAGATCCAGTTTCCAAAAACGTCGTGTCCTCTATTACCTAAAATTCCGGACAATGGAAGAAGTCCAAAACCCCAGTAATTCTGTGTATCATTGTTATTAATCTTTGAGATTATCTAGAAATAAGCTGTGGCCAGTGAACTTTACAATCTGCACAAGTTAATGTTTTACCATGAATGTAATGAAAGAGTACATGGATCAGATGTAACACAAACGCAGCAGTTCTACAAATATTTTTCTTTAAGATCATTTACAGAACACTGAATATGTTAAAGAGAAATCTTTTCACCACATTAGTGGTTACTGAGTGTAACTTGTATAGATCCTGATTCAGCAAGCAACACAAAAGAGATTCATACATTTTCAGCATGTTCGCTACATCTTCTATGTACTTCCACTGAGCTGACTGATATATGAGGGTAAGTCAATAAGTAAAATACAAATGGATATAGATCTTAAACAAATAATAGTACTGATTTGAAAAATGCTTTTATTTCACAACATAATCTCCATGTACACTGAGGCACTTGTCCCATCATTTCACAAGCCCCTGAAAACCAGCAGCATAAAATTCTTTGAGCTGCTGTTGGAACCAAGTGGTGACTTCTCTTTCTATAGCTTCATCATCGGGAAAATGTTCAGCCGAAAGATGATGTTTAAGAGGGCAGAACAAATGGAAGTTGCTTGGAGCAAGGTCTGGGCTATACAGAGGATGCTCCAGGACTTCCCACTTGAAATTTCGCAGCGTCTCATTTGTCTTGTTGGCAGTATGGGGACGCATGTTATCATATGCAAGAGCAACACACCTTTGGTGAGGAGTCCTGGTTGCTTCCCTTGAATGGCCTTACAAAGTTCCCAAGTGGCTTCCATTTGTTTGGTCCTCTTAAACATCATCTTTCGGCTGAACATTTTCCCGACGATGAAGCTGTAGAAAGAGAAGTCACCACTTGGTTCCAACAGCAGCTCAAAGAATTTTATGCTGCTGGTTTTCAGGGGCTTGTGAAATGATGGGACAAGTGCCTCAGTGTACATGGAGATTATGTTGTGAAATAAAAGCATTTTTCAAATCAGTACTATTATTTGTTTAAGATCTATATCCATTTGTATTTTACTTATTGACTTACCCTCATATATCAGTCAGCTCAGTGGAAGTACATNGTGCATGGTTTTAATTTTGGTCAGGTTAAGTGTTTGGTTTTAATTTCAGTCCAGTTGCTTGCTAACCTTACTAAGGCCTTTGTTGTTTTCCTTAGTCTGTCAAAGTAAATTCTAGTATATTATCCTTAAATAAGTCACATCTCTCTTCCAAATCCTTACATACTCACATTTCATGATCAGCTTTCCATGTTATTTGATGTAATCTCTACAGTTGAAACAGCAGTTATGCAACTTAAAACTCAATCAACTGAACCTATAGTCTGTGCCACAGCCAGACAACGTGTCCTAACCACACGAGAGGAAGCACTGGAATATTTTCATATTATAGATGTCTTTGTAAGAGTTACTTTTTTTTTTTTTTACAAAAGTTTTATTTTTTCATGAAGCAGTAATTACTTTATATTTATTCCATTCCTTATGAGTTAAGAGCAATGTTAGTGTTGTAGTCATTTTCACAACTTGCTTTAGCTTTTTTCTTTGGCTTATAGCAGACATTTTTCATTCTGCCTAAGTTGTTAGGCCATGGTGTTTTAGAAACTGCTTCTGTTTATTTCTTTAGGTGACAGGATATAGGAAGGAATTCTACTCCATTGGTTTCCTCTACAGAAATGTGCTCAAACCCTGGAATATCATCTTCTGAGTAGAAAGCACTTCTACACTAAAGATGGAGGCAGCATGTTCCTCCAAAATACTGGTAACCACCTACCGAACTACATGTCACCCAGACGAGCAGAGACTAAATCTTCACCACTAGGAATTCCTCAAATCTCAACATGATCCTTACCACCCAACTGCTACCTGCTCAATTTAAAATACAGAGGGGTCCAAAAAATGTACTCACTCTTTGATAGTCAATATATTTGGAACAATATGACATGTAGTTACAATTCTTGTGCGGTATTGTAGTGTAATGTTTTCTCAACATATGGCGAAGGTCACGAGTCATGCGAGTGTCGTGCCGCATGCGCGCTGCGAGCAGAAGACAGCAGCAACAATGGCTGAAAGGTTGTTCTTTAAGCAACGCAAGGCTGTACTGAAGTGGTACTGGAAGTACGAAAACATTAAAGAGGTACAACGACAATGGCAGCATGAGTTTGGAACTCAGCCACCAACACGTAGAACAATTGCCTGTATTCGGGATAAATTTGAAGCCAACCGTACTGTTCATGATGTGCATAAGCAAAGATCTGGGCAACCATGGATAGTAACAAGTCCAGCTTCCAGTGCTGTGGTGTTGCAACACTACACGATCACATCGATTTTCCCTTCCATTCGAGAGCTGTTTGGAGATGTGAGAGATTTTACCTACAACAAGATGGTGCTTCACCTCACTATCATCCAGATGTCATTGCGTACTTGGATGACACTCTACCTGGATGATGGATAGGTCGAAGAGGTGCTACTGAGTACCCACCACGGTCTCCAGACCTAACACCTCTCGACATCTACCTATGGGGAACCTTGAAGGATGAAGTTTATCGATACTGAACGCGCTACGAAAAACCAGCGAAGCGTTGTGTGCAGCCATCACACCGGACACACTAACAGCCGTAGTTCACTCAGCAGTTCAGCAGCATCGACGCTGTTTAGCCGCCGATGGTGGTCACTTCGAACACATACAATGACTCTCTCTCTGCGCAAGAATTGTAACTACATGTCATTTTGTTCCAAAGATACTGACTATCAAAGAGTGAGTACATTTCTTTGGACCCCTCTGTACACAATGCATTTACCTATACTAGAGATATACAGGAACATTGACTAATTTGGTAATGGGCCATAAGCAGTCTGATCAATTAAAATGATCGAAGTCACTGTTAACACTGGATAAATTTGTAATTATATAAATTCAGAGTCAGTTCCATTGTTAACTGCAGAGAAAACATAACAATTCTGACTTGTACTCTGCATGTGTCCAATCTCAATCTTGACTGGGCACCAACTGTTCATACTGAGGTTTTTCATGGTTATCTCAGTCCTTTCAGCAAAATGCTGGGTCAGTGCCTGATATGCCATTAGTGGCACTGGTCG